CTTGACTGATAAGGAGGAGAAATAGAAACCAACCTTAGCCAGACATGGTTGCCTTGCAACTTTAGACTATACAGAATTATGGAAACCAAGTAAATATTGTCCCCCCATCAAGCTACTGGTACCAATTATCTTTAAAAAACAAAAAAAGGCGGGGGGGGGGGGAGGAGGGAAATTGTGCCATTGCCACACTTGAGCAGGCTAAATAAGACCCTGTTTGCCATAGTGGACCTTAAATACCCGTGTAGAGTCATCCACCCTGGCTGAATGTACAACTTCCTATAGGAACTTAGAAGAATAGACTACTGCCTGCTGAGCCTGCCCTGTGACATAATCAGATCAAACAAAGGATGGGTTCAGTGGGCTTTCCCTATATATACAGGAAGTGCTGAATATTTAATTTTTGAGCCTTAATCAGAAAACTTTGTCTTGGCTCCATGCTTCTCTTGACCCTCTGTCTCTTACATATTTCGAGCCTTCCTTTCAGGTGAACCCAGTTCGCCCATGGCTGCTGGGGAGCTACAAGGTACAAAGGTTCTGGCTGTTGCCCAGGCTATGAGCATCATGACCTACCATAAGGATCCACATGAATGAGGTTAAGACCAGTTTGTGACAGGCACTACCCTGTGTCCTTCTCTGCAGAAAATGCACATTCCATGGCAAGTTTGTTCCTGCTCTCTATTTACTTGTGACCATGGTGTTGTGTCTGAAGGGTGTCACTCATACCCTTGAATCAGGTTGACAAGCCCTGGGTGGGAGGTTTAGTCCCTAGTAGTAACAATCCAGCAGAGGATGGAGACACCAATTTTTTAATTGATTTTGAAATCATGGCTTTTTTTTCAAAGTATAAGATGACTGCCTGCACCCTGTAGTTTAAACAATGGCTGGTTAGTGAGGTTTGAATCACATGGTTAAGGGGGATGATCTGAGAAGGATTTGTACAGGAAGGAGGCTTATCCATGAGTGTCTCAGACCTTCCAGCTACTGAGGTGGGAACAACTGTTCTCCATTCAAAACCTAACAACAAAAAAAGGCAGAAGAGTTGCATGCAAGTCCTTGAAGAGAATTTGCCTATAGGCCTCGGCTCCACCACTCCCACCCTGCAGATGCACTAAGGGTCCATCCCTTCCTACAGACCCACTAAGTGACCATCACTCCATGCAAACCCACTAACTGACCTTCACTTCCCTGCAAACCCAATAAGTGATTATAAATTTCCTGCAGAATCACTAAATGACCATCACTTACTGCAGATTCAAGGAGTGACTATGTCTTCCCTGAAGACTCACTAAAAGACCATATATTCCCTGTAAATTCACTAAGGGACCAACTTGCTGACCCATTATGTGATAATTAATTCCCAGTAGACTAAGTGTCCATCCATTTCCACCAGACTACCTAACAGACCATCCCTTCCCTCATTACCAATAGGTGATCATTAATTCCCTGTAGACTCACTAAGTGATCAGCCCTTCCAGAAGAGACACTAAATGATCATCTCCTCCCAAGAGACTCAATAGGTAACCATCCCTTCTTACAGACTCACTAAGTGACCATGCCTTCCCTCTAGAAGCACTAAGTGATCATTCCTTCCTATAAGACATACTACCTGACCATCAAAACAAAGTCCTTCTGATTTTCCATCTGTCCTTGTCCCAGGCCATTTCTCATCTCTCCTCTCTGTGTCCCATTGCCCTGCTCCTCCATTAGCATATAGAGAGTGTCCTTCTCAATTCTGGTTTTCATTTTATGGACAAAATTTTTGACAAAGAGCCAGGGTGTTGACCTTGCTGTGACCTCTGAGACCTGGCTGTGCTTGCTGCTAGGTTGGTGAATCTTAAGAGTAGGCTGACAGGGGAAAGCATTTGTGGAAGAGACAGAGAATCCTGGGCTCAGTACAGACTTGTCCTGGGGAGAGGTTTCTCCTAGATGCTTGACTCCTCTCAGTAGAAATGTGGGGGCTAAGGGATCACAGGAGAAACTTGTAAATAAACAACAATTTCTGGATTAATGAAAATAGAAATTCTTCTACCAAAACATGTGTCTGGTCATCCATTTAAGTTATTTTATTTTCAAGGATTGTTTTAGGACTTTTGAGCATACATGTGTATTCTTGTGTGCCAAGTGTGTGGGAGAACCCTCAGATGCAAGGATGAAGATGAGGGCCACTCTTTACAAGAATTTTTTAGCCATACAATGTGTGTATCAAAAATTGAATTTCAGTTCTCCATAAGAGCAGAAAGCACTCTTAATGCTTGACTCATTTCTACAAAATGTGTATTTCTATTAGTTTTTAGTTGCTTTTTGAGATGTCTCACAACATAACAGGTTTACTATAACTTTGTAATCTCTAGCCCTACTGTCTTCATCATTACATAAACCACACTGTAGTAATCCAACAGCATCTCTGCACATGATAGCCTGTGAGGAAGCTGGTCAGGAGGTTAGACCAATCTAAGTACTCTCTGGAGCATCTTACTAGCTCCGCAGGGGAAGGGGCAACACCTAGGACAGATCTACAGCCCTAAGCATAGGTAGAGGCTCAAGAACATCATGATAACATTGAAAAACATGTAGTTAGCAGGAAGTGTCCTATAAAGTTGTTCAAGGCTGCATGCCACATCCCTAAAGGAGCCTCCTTTTCTCCTCACCCCGGTTTCATTGTTGACAGAAACAAGTGTGCATAGAGGGACTCAGAGGAACTGCAGATGCCACAAGAGGCTGTCTCTTTAATGTGAGCATGAGGACAGCATTGTACACATCCCAATCCCATGCGCCCAACCCTAGATCCTCAAACATTAGAATAGAATACAATTTCTGGTTTGCCAATTAAGACTGAATATGGACACCATGTGGTCAAGTCTAGAACCAGGCTTGACAGTGGGCCTGTTTCCACCTTTGCAGCACTGACTCTAGTCTCCACCTCTCCCATTATTGCATGAAAAAGAAACAGTGGATTGAGTGAGGTACACTTCCCTTTGGCAGAAAGTGCTTCCCCATGAGCTGAACCATACTCCTTGTCCTAGTAGATGGCTCAGTTCCCATCTATCTAAGTAGATCAGAGCAGCCCAGAGATCAGAAGAGTTGCAGTGTTGGATACTCACAGGGTCAGGCCTGGAATGGTACCAGCACACCCTACTCAGTACAGGGAAGAGGAATAGCTTTGCACCCTCATTTGTGGGAGAATTTCAGGAGGGATGGACTGACTGAGGGAACCTCCATGAAGCAGTGAGATGTCTGGGATGCTTTCTCTTCAGCCCTGTGCCTAGAAAAACACAGTACATCATATTTCCTAGTTTCTCTTACTTTATCCAGAAATTCCAGGGCCAGATCTAGATCCTGTTGTGTTCTAGAAGATCTTGATCCAACATAAGTTCCCATCACTGTCAGGATTGATAACAACAGGACCGTGGGAGAGAGAATTGGGAAATGACCATAGAAGGATGGCTCTTAAGAACTCAATGTTGAAGGGATATGAGATTCAAGAGCAGCAATATCTGCCTGTATTTTGGTCAACAAAGCCCAATAATACATTCGCAAAATGCAATTCACAGTTAGGATTCTGAGGACTTGTTGGGTGCTAACAGGCACATGAACACTGTCCTAGTACCTTCTGCATGAGGAGGAAGAAGGACAGGAGTGGAGACAGAAGGACAAGAAACAGCAGCTATACATCATACAGGATCAGGCACAGGAGAAAAGGAAGAGCAGGGAAAATCCACAGCAGACCTAGGACAGCTACCCATCGGAGGCAGAATGGCCCAGCTCCAGATTCACAGATCACTCAACACTGATAACACAGGCTCAGATCTTAAGGCAATGCTGTAATATATACTGATTTGGGATACTTCCTGATAGAAAAATGGTTCTTGAGAACACAAGGCCAGTATGATTCCTTACAGGTTGGAACAGAAAGTTGTGGAAGTGTCAGATTAGGGCAATGTGACATCGTTTCTTAAAGAAGGCACCAGGTTAATTTTGAGCTGGAATCAGAGCATCAGTCAGGTATTCCCCAGACCAGAAGACAGATGCAAAGGTCCACACACTACTCTCGAGGTTCTGAGCAAGGCTTCCTGGAATATTAAGGAAATAATTCTTCCTCAGCTGAGTCAGGTGCAGTCATGGAGGTCACAACTCAAGAAATCTGTGCTTGTGTCTGCTTGAATCCAGGCACCCAGGAGAAGGGACACTTGAGAATATAAAGTCATTTACTTCCCCACATCAGCTCTTGGAGTCCTCATGAGTCTGTTGTCCCAGCCCCATCACCTTGTGTTCCTTTGAGATCAGCCTTCCGTATTTGGGGCTGGCCCTTATATCTTCAAGGAGCTGTGCTAATAAGAGGTCACTCCAGCTCTCCCTGTCCTCTGCTATAAGTTGTCCTGAGTCCAACTGCAGGTAACCAATAGTTTCTCATTATGTTCACAGCACCCTGGTTTGTGGCTCCAGAGTGCAAGATACCGAGACAAAAGGGGAACCTAGGACTGGACCATGGGGCATGTATAATGAAGCATACATGTATTATGACATGGGTCCAGGAAGCAAAGATCATAAGGGAATGGATCTGTGTTATTGAACAGTCAGTTGCATTTTCCTTGGCAATAAGATAGGAAAAGCCAAAGGGCTGTTCTACAGGTGAAAGGCAATATAAGGACCTGAGAACTCAGGTATCAATGAATACTAGGAAACGCAGTGTGGACTGCAGTCCAGAAGGGTGGATTCAGACATACCTACACATTTCTGAGTTAGCAATTGCCAAGTTCATTGTGACTCAGAATCAATATCTCTCTCTCTCTCTCTCTCTCTCTCTCTCTCTCTCTCTCTCTCTCTCTTGTCTTCTACAAGCTATGTGGCTCTACCTGGTGGCACTTGTAGGCCTGTAGACACTCCTGTACTTCTTAAGGGAGGGGCAGGTGGTGGACCATCTCCAAGACAAGTATGTCTTCATCACAGGCTGTGACTCAGGCTTTGGGAACCTGCTGGACAGACAGCTGGACAGGAGAGCCATGAGGGTATTGGCTGCCTGTCAGAAGAAGGAGGGAGATGAGCAGCTGAGAAAGAAGACACCAGACAGGTTGGAGACAGTGATCCTTGATGTCACCAGCACAGAGAGTATCGTGGCAGCTACTCAGTGGGTGAAGAGTGTGTTGGGAACAGAGGTATCATTGAGGTTCCTGTCTGTGTTGTTGGTTTCTGGTCTGTGTGAAAAGAAGGCCTGTGTAGTCCTGAAAGGATTCCTGCTGGGGTCAGGGTGGAGTTGGAATTACTGCAGACTCTGCCCCTCTCCTGCACATCAGTCTGTTCTCTTACCTCTACACTGAAGTCTCCAAGCTAACTCATGTCTAATTGTTACAAATAGATGCTTGCTAGAGGTTAGACCATGTGTTCAGTTTCCCTCCTCAGTGCTGGGTCACTGTCCCCCTTTGCCTGTGGTGATCTTACAGGTGCTGCCACAGTCTCTGTGAGTTCATGTGAGCAGCAGTTTTGTTGTGTCTGGAAGACAGTGTTTTTGGAGTCACCCATCACCTATGTCTCTTAAAATGTTTATGCTTTCTCATCATTATAGATTTCTGAGCCTTTTAGGACTGAACATGTAAGAGTCTCTTATTTCCAACAACACTGTGACCTTGGTTGTCTCTGTGTTAATTTTTATCTATAACCAGACTCACTTTTCCTGATGGAGATTGATCAAGGCACTGGACTTTGAGTGCTGTTCGTAATCTGCATTGAGAGTCTTGTTACTGTATATTCCCTTTGCAGAATGATAATATTGAATTTTTCAATAGTTCCATGACCCACCTACTCTAAGGTTTTTGGCCACTGTAGTAGTGTCATTATGGGTTCTATCTCAGAAAGCAGTCCTTCCATCTAATGAAAAGTGTATAGTTACCCCCATGACATTAATACATTAAAGGAAAGTCACTATGGTAGATCACAGGGCTTGTTACTGAGTAACATTAATGACTGTCTTTCTGGGAGTGCACAGAGTATTTTTGGGCACATAGCATGCTAATCCATGGGAAGTAAAGCTTTTAGTTGAGCACCAGTTTGCCTTCTCTCAGGATGATGACATCAGATAGTATGGTCTTCAGCTACATGGCCTTACCATCAGGTTGGGAGAGCATTTAGTAGCCTTGGCCATAGCCTACAATGGAGGTTGGGAGGGAGTATTCCATAGGTCCCTTTGGGAGACATATGTGACTCATTCCTGGCACTGAAGGTTTTTCTGTTGGCTTCAATGTCTACTTGGGTTGTCATGTCTATCATTATAGGGTGATGCCACTGATATTCCTTCATACATATATTTTAGGAAGCTTCTACAGAAGTAGTTTTGCATATGGTTTTTCAAAACAGAGCAAAACCAATCTTGATTACAGATTATGCATCTATAGAAGGACAAGACATGCTTTTGAGACAAAAAGGCAGATGGCTTACTGTGCCAACATTTTAAAAACAACAAATGTTGATCTTAATCTCAATCAACTAGTCTCCCATTCATCCTGCTAAGTTGTCACATACTAGCCATTACATTGTGTTCTGTTAGCATCTGAAGAGAGTTAATATTGATTTTCATCAACATAGATTTTGATTAATATTGATCTCAAGGCCAGCTTAATCAGAGCCAAAAAACACAGCCTGGTTTTTCAAAATCTACCCTCAGTAAGTTTTCCATTTTTGGCTTCTTAATGAAAATTTCACTCACAGATTAATTTCATCTTTTCTTTCTTTTCTCCTCACCCACTCCAACAAGGCCTCATAATCTTGAACCAATGGCTACCATTCCCATTCAAAACACCACAACAAATAAAAGAATAAAATCTCTACAAGGATGGCATCAACTTGAAAGTCATAAAAATACTTTTATAGTCTCTAGATTAACAAAAACTCACCATGTTTTCACCATCTGTTCTTAAACTTTGCAAGTGAGAAGGGACTCCTTGCTGATTCCCAGGTAGAGAAATGGGCCACAAAGTCTTAAAGATGAAGGTATCCATGCTGTGATCCAGCAGTGTTCTGCAGGTGTTCCCCAGCTGTGTGGATACCCTGCTCTTATACATTGATTCCTATTGTCCAGTAAACATGTGTCACAGTGGTCTTACCTTGTTGATTGTGTATTTCATCCATAATTAAACCTGTGTTGTGTAACTGTCTCTTCCCACTGTTTCCAGAACTCTGGGGCCTGGTCAACAATGCTACCCCCTCGATTCCTAATTAGTGGATGAACAAACAGGACTTTGCAAATATACTGGATGTGAACCATGGGACTCCAAACCTCAGCTCCTTCAGTCCCTTCTCCAACTCCTCCATTGGGGACTTCTCGCTCAGTCCAATGGCTGTCTGCCAGCATCCACCTCCATATTTGTCAGGCTCCGGAGCTTTTCAGGAGACAGCTATATCAGGCTCCATTCAGCAAGCACTTCCAGGCATCCACAATTGCATCCAGGTTTGGTGACTATATATGGGATGGATCCCCAGGTGGGGCAGTCTTTGGATGGCCTATCCTTCAGCCTCTGCTCCACACTTTGTCTCCATATTTCCTCCTGTAAGTATATTGTTCCTCATTCTAGTGTGAAGGATCCACACTTGTTCTTTCATCATGGTGGGCTTCATATGGTCTGTGTATTGAATCTTGGATATTCCAAACTTTTGGGCTAATAAGCAGGAAGTACTCTTAATGGCTGACTCATTTCTTCAAAACATGTATTTATATTTTAGTTTTTCTTTCTTTTTGTTTGTTTGCTCGTTTTTTGTTTGTTTTGGGATGACTCAGGAGATTGTTGGCACACAACATGGATCCCTTCATCTTTTAAGACTTTGTGACCCAGTTCTCAACCTGGGAATCAGCCAGCAGTCCCTTCTCACTTGCTACATTTAAGAATAGGTGATGAAAACATGGTACACCTTATTAATCTACAGACCATAAAGGTATGTTTATGTCTTACAAGTTGATTTTTGCAGAGATTATATTTCTTTACTTTATGTGATTGTTTGACTGGAAATAGCAGCCATAGGCTCATATATTTAAATGCTTTGTCCTGAAAGGGGCAATGCTTGAGAGGGATTAGGAGGTGTGGCCCTGTTGGAGTGGGTATGGTTATGCTTTGTTATGTGATTCACTAGAAGTGAACTATCCCAGAGTTCTGCTGTCCCTGGTACCTGTGGATATAGATGTAGTATCTCAACTCCTTCTCTAGAACATGACTTCCTAGAACACACCACACTTCATGACATGATGATAGCAGTCAAAAGCTTTAATCATGTGCAAGTCTAAATGCAATATTTCATCTATGAAGGTTACCATGATCATGGCAGCTCTTCATAGAGCTAGAATTCTGAAAAAGACAGTTGTATCTTTCCATTATTCTAAGCAGTTTACCACACTGCTACCTGTGTCTTTCAAGTGGCCAAGAAAGGTAGTAATAAGAAAAATTACTTTCCATTATCATTCCTCATTATAGTAATAAGAAAGGACAGTCATAAAGAAGAAGAAAAGGAACCAAGGAAATCAGAAAGGAGAAAAGAAAGAAAAGACAAAGTGAATCTTTTGAGGAAATTTGGTTGGGAAACAAGCAAATGGAAACTTGATTTTGGTAGAATTGGAAAACAGAGCTGTGCTTTTCAGCTTTGCTGAAGCAGTCTTTAAAATTAATAATGATCAACTCTCAATATTGATCAGCATCAATATTGATTTTTCATCAATATTGATCAACACTCCTCAGATGCTTACAAAACCCAATATATTGTGAAAACTTAACACAAGCTAAGAGTCATGATGAAGGAAGGTGACTTAGTTGAGGAAATACCTCCATGAGACCCAGCTGTAATGCATTTTCTCAACTAGTGAACAACTAGGAAGGTCACAGCCCCACTATGTGTGATGTCATACCTGGACTGCTGGTCCTGGGTTCTATAAGAAAGCAGCCTGTGCAAGCCATGGAGATCAAGCCAGTAAGCAGCACCCATCCATGGCTTCTGCATCAGCTCCTGCCTCCAGGTTCCTTCCGAATTTCAGCTCTTGTCCTGAGTTCTGTTGGTGATGAACAGTGATCTAGTAGTGTAAACTAAATAAATCATTTCTTAGAACAACTTGATTTTTCATCATGGCTTGGAGCCAGAAGATTAGGTTAGAAGATTAAAATAGAATAATACTGTTCAGTAATTCTTCCCTTTAAGCATGTTAAATAAATAACATAGTCCAGTCTCAGTTTTTTTTTTGAGAGCTATGTGGGTAAAAATCAAACAGTAACACACTTATTAAAAAGGCACTCACTGAACTTCACACCCAAGAGGGCTTGTGTCTCCACAAAATAAACTTCATGAAACTTTGGGATGAAAGGGGAGCCTGCATTTTTTTTTCATCTTGTTTTATGCTGGCTTTTTTGCTTGTTTCTTGTTGTTTGTTTTTTGTTTTTGTTTTTTTTTTGTTGTTGTTTTGTTTCTTTATATTACTTTTCCTTGGGGGTTTTATTTTGTTTTTGTTTTTTAGAGAGAGAGAGAGAGACAGAGAGAGAGAGAGAGAGAGAGAGAGAGAGAGAGAGAGAGAGAGATTGAGAATATGAACTTGTGTGGCTGGGACATGGGGAGGATCTGGAAGGAGTTGGGTAAAGGCAAAACATGATATAAATGTTTGTATGAAAAAATTAATAAAAATATGCAAAACAGATATTTTAATTCTAGGATCCCAAAATACACATACTTGCAGACTCAGAATGGACTAGAAGTATCACAAGACACTTCTTAGGACAATAAAACAAGCTGAGCCTGGTGGCAATCACTGGTGATGCCAACAGGAAGGAACTGAAGAACAGGTTCATCAGATGGTGACCAGCTCCATATCTAGAACCCTGCCTCAAAAAACAAGAGCCAGAAGAATACAAAGGGAACAAATAATACTCAGGGCCAATGCCTGCTAAGTGTAATAATAAGGTTTGGTTAAGGGTCAAGTTATTTTACTTCATTGCATATTATTATTGTAAAAATGTTCTATAAATGGTAATATTACTCTTTTTGAAGTGGAAAGAATGCATATACATTAATCATGAAGGTCAAGGGTTAACTGGTTTTTATTCATTGAATAGTAGTTTGACATGTCTAGAGTTTAGAACAGTAACTGCTTTTCTTTAAATCTTTATAAATTTATTCTTTAAAAAAACAAATACTGGAGAGAGAGAGAGAGAGAGAGAGAGAGAGAGAGAGAGAGGAAGAAAGAGGCAGGGTGTGTGTGTGTGTGTGTGTATTTGTGTGTGTATGTATATGTATGTGTAT